GTGTGTGTGTGTGTGTGTGTGTGTGTGTGTGTGAGTATGAGTGTGTGTGTGTGTGTGTGTGTGTGTTTTACCTGGTCTAGTGTGGTCTGTGACACAGAGTAATCCTCCACATGCAGCAGCTGCTGGTGTTTGCTGAGTTGGCTGAAGATGTGTGCGAGGGCTCCCTCTCCCTGCGGGATCTGGTACTGCAGAGTGTTGTGATGTTTCTCTTTCAAAGTGCTGCCGGGAAATGTGTCACGCACAAAAGTCTCCACTGTGCACAGGTCGGCCTGATCGGCACACACACGTATGATCAGTGTGTATCCGTCCCCGAACCTGCAACACACACACATACAGATTTACAGGCAAAAACTGTATTCTCAATCTGGATTAGTTTGAGATCAAAGCACATATGAACCACAGATCATTTCATGAAGAATTCAACAACATCGCCACAAACTTCAAAGAAGAAGAAAGAGTTCCTGCACACCATCTGATAAAACAGCACTATTTCCACTTTTTTTTTTCCACATAGGTTGCAATGTGTACAAAGCTGAACACTGCAAACAGACATCTCACAACGCAGACTATTTATTTTCATTTATATCTCACAATTCTGACTTTTCTCTTAATTTTGAATTTATGTCTTGCAATTATGAGTTAACATCTCGCAATTCTGATTTAATTCTCGGAATTCTGAGTTAACATCGCGCAATTGTGACTTTATTATCGGAATTCTGAGTTAACGTCTCGCAATTGTGACTTTATTATCGGAATTCTGAGTTAACGTCTCGCTATTGTGACTTTATTATCGGAATTCTGAGTTAACGTCTCGCAATTGTGACTTTATTATCGGAATTCTGAGTTAACGTCTCGCTATTGTGACTTTATTATCGGAATTCTGAGTTAGCGTCTCGCAATTGTGACTTTATTATGGAATTCTGAATTAACGTTGCATAGTTCTGACTTTATTATCGGAATTCTGAGTTAACGTCTCGCAATTCGCAAAGTGGAGTTACCATTTTGCAATCCTGCCTTAAAAGATATAAAATACTGAGAAAAAAGCTGAATTGGAAGATAATAGCTCAAAATTGTGAGAAATAAAGTCAAAAGTGTGTTATAAACTCGTAATTTTGACTTTTTTTCTCCCAAGTTTACATCTTGCACTTTTGATTTTTACTCTCAGAATTCTGAGTTTACATCTCGCAATCCCGCCTCAAAAGATATCTAAAAATCAGAGAAAAAGTCAGAATTGCAAGATATAATCTCACAAGAAAAAAAAGGATGAATTGCAACATAAACTCGCAATTCTAACCTTTTTTTCAGAATAGTAAATTTAGAACAAATTTCACTTTCTCACAAGTTTTAGCTACTATTATGCTATTGTTGAGCTATAGATGTTCTCAAAATTCCTAGATACAAATTCAAATTTGCAAGAAATAAAGTCAGAATTGTGAGATAAGTCACAATTACTGAGTTTCAGAGGTTGAGTGTGTTTGCATGTTACTAACTCGGTGAAAAAATGTTGACATTTTATCATAATTGTGCAAGCTGTTATTTTTTAAAATGTTGTGTGTAAAACCTGAATTGAACAGATTACCTTTGTCACTTTGTTAAATGGGTGTTTCATAGTCTACCCCTGCAGTGGGGTCCAAATCTGTGACCATTCATAAAAATGCTTCTATTTTGTTCACTACTGTTCAAAAGTTTTTTTTTTTTTTTTACACATTTTTTTTTTTTTTTTTTTGTGGTAGGAAAAATAAAGGAATAAAGTCATGCAGGTTTGCATGCCATGCATGCACATCTAAAGCAGCACAGATAAACGGCGTCTCTATATTTTCATCCTTCTAAACAGTGGATGTGTGAAAAGTAGATGCAGATTTATAGTCTGTGTAAAGTGTGCAGCAGTAGATTGCTGCGAAATGTAGCTGTCTTATAAAAACTTCCTCCGCTCTCAACATTACTGATGTACATTAGAAGCACTCTAGTGCTTTTATCCTTCTTGTTAAAAGAACAAAGACACAAAAGTGTGAGATCACACTCACTCACTCACTCACACACACACACACACACACACACACACACACACACACACACACACACACACACACACACACACACACACACACAGACTCTGAGTGAATTAGATGAAAAACTCACACACTAAGCACAGTAACTCTAGTAATGGAGCAATTTGATTGTCGACTGACAGTCTTACAGGTGCTTTTATTGGATGGCAGTTTATTTGTGTTTGTTTAGAGGTGTGTGTGTGTGTGTGTGTGTGTGTGTGTGTGTTTACTCAATGGTTTGTGTTTATAAACACTCAGCCTCAATATGATTTTATCAGAGTAACCGCCTGCTCTCAAAATAATAAAAGCACACAATGTTAATGGCAGGTGTGTGAGTGACTTACACTTTATTACTTGCCGTGAAGTGAACTTACAAAATTTGGCCATTTTAAAGAAACAGTTCACCCAAAAATACAATTCTGTCATTCTTCACTCACCCTCAAGTCGTTCCAAGCCTGTATGAATTTGTTTATTCTGCTGAACACAAAATAAGATATTTTAAAGAATGTTTTTAACCAAACAGTTGACGGTAGCCATTGACTTTCATAGTATTTTTCCACATACTATGGAAGTCAACTGTTCGGTTTAACACACTTTTCAAAATATCTTTAGTTTTCAACAGAAGACAGAAACTCATACAGGTTTAGAACAACTTGAGGCTGAATAAATGATGACACCATTTTCTTTTTGGGGGAATTTGGACATTTCCAATCATAGTTCACGTCAGAGCCATTGAGAAACTACAGCATTTTATGACATTTTAACACATTAGTTAATCTCTCAAAAATCTGACGAGTAGTTCTATTTTATGAAGCGCATTATAGTTAATGTGTATCATTAAATAATAGACAGTTATACTATAATTGCAGTTAGATACGTGAGAAACACCTTAAAGGAACACTCCACTTTTTTGAAAATAGGCTCATTTTCCAACTCCCCTAGAGTTAAACAGTTGAGTTTTACCGTTTTCAAATCCATTCAGCCGATCTCCGGGTCTGCCAGTAGCACTTTTAGCTTAGCTTAGCATAGATAATTGAATCTGATTAGACCGTTAGCATCTCGCTCAAAAATGACCAAAGAGTTTCTATATTTTTCCTATTTAAAACTTGACTCTGCTGTAGTTACATCGTGTATAAGACCGACGGAAAATGAAAAGTTGTGATTTTCTAGGCCGATATGGCTAGGAACTATACTCTCATTCTGGCGTAATAATCAAGGAACTTTGCTGCCGTACCATGGGTGCAGCAGGCGCAATGATATTATGCAGCGCCTGAAAATAATACCAGCTAGGTAACGTCCAATAAGCCTATTTTGATATATGAACATATGAAATCTAGAAAAAATCATTAAACTTCTTAAAACTGTTTTAAAAGGTGCATTTTGATATGCATGATAGTGTTTTTTTGATATTGTAATTTTAATAACATTTAGTTTTTGGAAGTTTTTTAAAATGGTATTTTTAAAAATAAAATTACAAATATTCTCAACATCTTATCTTTAAATTATAGTTTAATTTTATATTTAAGTTTGGCAATTTTTTTTTGTTGAAAAATTACAACTTTTATTAATCAAGAATGTATTAAATTGATCGAAAGTGACATTAAAGACATTTATTGTGTTATAATATATTTCCATTACTATTTCAAATAAATGCTGTTCTTTTGAACTCTCTATTCATCAAAGAATCCTGAAAATGTAAATATATATCACAGGTTCCACAAAAAAATATTCATCAGCACAACTGTTTTCAACATTGATAATAATCAGAAATGTTTCTTGAGCAGCAAATCAGCATATTAGAATGATTTCTGAAGATCATGTGACACTGAAGACTGGAGTAATAATGCTGAAAATACAGCTTTTCAATAACATATTTGGACTTGCTAGCAAAACAAGTTTGAATATTTAAAGTCAAATGTAACAGATTTTCTCTTTTAGAGAAACTGTCACTGCAATTGTTTTTTAAAAAATGAGGCTGAGGAAATCACGGCGAGCACAACTCATTCACTCACGACACCTGCAGCTGTGCACGCTCGCTATAAAGATGAATCAACATTCAAATGTCAGCAGAGACAAAGACAAAGTCGTCCCCGCTTTGCTGCATCGATCACAGGACGAGTGGAGACGATACGAGAGATCAGAACTCACTGACACCAACAACACCACATGCTTTGGGAAATATGATGCAATGTATTCCTATATGCCCTTCAGAGCAAATATAGACAGTTATATTTATTTCCATGAGCAGATCGTGCACCGCAAACCTTCAGTCTGTGCGACTCGAGCGAGGCCTGTGTTTGACGACATGAAGTGTGTTCCCTGCTGAGTGTGCGAGGGAAGTGAATGCAGCGTGAGAGAAGGCGTCCTACAGATGGCAGCAGAAACACACCGCAGGAGGACCGACGGGATGAAGGGAAGAGAAGAGAAAGAGGAGAGGATGGACTGAATGAGGAAGGCCTGCAGATGGAGCGAGAGTCGGCGTGCGATGGAGAGCTGTAGATCTTGTCCTACTGCTTTGCTCCATTAGACAGCATGAACAAGAAAAGATAAAGCAGAGAGAGAGAGAGAGAGAGAGAGAAAGAGAGGGGAGGGTCGATCAAGGGAGCTGCTCTTAATTGCCTCTTCACTCATTAATGCCCACACCTCCACAATCATTAATTACAACCGAGAGACACAGTGAGAGAAAGAGAGAGAGAGCAGATAAATTCAGGCACAAATTAAACGTAAGGCCTGAAACAGACTCAGTCTCAGACTTTATAGTATTTTAGTTAAAAACGTCTTGATGGATTTGTTTCAGCTTTTCACTTCACAAGACATTAACTGATGGACTGGAGTGGTGTGGATTATTGTGATGTTTTTATCAGCTGTT